AACATGTTTTATCAAATTTACTGCAATTTATTAAATGTTGTTTATTAAATTGTTAACATAAATAACTTTTAATATTTTTTAAAACAATTTAATATATATCTGCATTTTTGTTGATTTAATTTATTAATCTAAATTTCGCATGCATATAATATTAAAATTAATTTTTTTTAATTAAAACTATCTAGTTTAAAAATATAGGTTGATTTAATTTGGATAAATTGTTTTTATTTCTAAATTCATCTTTTTGCCCTGATCTAATTATTATTGCAGATATTAATATTATGTTACTTATATATATTTTACATCAAACAATCTCAATCATATTAATCTGGATAATATTAAATAAAGAAAGTTCGTGCACGCATTCTCAAGTGGTATTCTCAAGGGACATTTTGGATTTGGTCACGAAGAAACGTAAAAGAGAACGCACTCAGAACTACGTTGTACTGCGGATATGTCGTTGAGGTAGGTGAGTCCATTCCCAGGGCTTTGTTGAACGGGATTGGTACCGAGCCCAAGGGACACGCCGAGCTACAAGATCTCTATTATGTCAAGAAAGAGCGGAATGAGCTTCTTGGGACTTTCGTTTCGTTCGTCCGATGAGCCAATCATTCAATAGAATTCATTTTGATTTCGATGATGAAATTTGATTTGCAAAATTTTAAAGATTGTTTCAAACATAATTTTAATTTCATTAAAATGTAGTTAACATACGTTAGTAATTAATATCTGTGCAGTACTCTTATCACGAAATGATTCTGTTATATAATTAATGGTACGAAATGTACCAACACAATTACACAAGAGGTCAAAAAATCAATAAATTATCGATAATTCATATACAATCAACTACATAATAATAAAGTATATTTATATTTTTTTATATTTATAAAATATAAATTTATATTGATAAGCTTAGAGTTTAAGCATTCTGCAACTGTTTTATTTAGACAGACTAATATTTTTCATGACATATATAACAAATAATTTTTTCAAAATAAAAGTTATTATATTAAGATATTTTCTGTTTAGCCTAATATTTATTTGGATATAATTTTAACTTTATATATACATATATACATATGTATATGTACACCCCATACACACACACACACACACACACACACACACACACACGCACGCACGCACGCACGCACGCACGCACACACAGGCATGCACGCACGCACATACACACAGGCATGCACGCACGCACACACACATACACATATATAGTTTATAATGATGTCTTTATAAACTTTAGACTTTTAAAAATAGTAATACATAAGTTCAACGTATAGATGCATTACTGTCAGAATGCTCAATTTATTATTGCAGATAATGAAATATCTTGAATTTAAATGCGAATCGGAAAAAATGTCAAAAGTTAAAAATATTTTGCGATAGCTTCAAATCGTAACAAAATTTTATTATATTCAACTGCTTTTATTGAATGTTTTTTGGTCTTTACTGCAATTTATAGTTAAATATTTCTTGTGCTAAATTAAATGCATACTTATTAATACAAATGTGTTTTTTAAATAGTTTATGAATATTTAATAGAGGATGCTAAATAAAAAATGAGATGTCTACATATTAAAGCAAGAAATTAATTCGTGCAGGTCGTGTATGAATTTGGCGCAAAGGGAATAAAATCCATCACAAAATCCAGCTCACTACAGAGCCGTAAATAATCAACGGCTCTTCGATCCGACAATACTATTGTAACACTGGGACTACCGTTACCGATAACGTGCGATTGACAGGTCAGTCTCTATCGGCATCCTATCTTTGTCTCTGTGACAGGTGTTGTGATGTAGTTGCACTGAAAACATGCGATTTGTATAACGTGAAGATCTCTGACTTCTACGAGCAATAGTTTTCATTTCTCAGCTGCAATAACTCGTCGCTGTCGTTGATACTCAAGAAAAACAAATTCATGTTGTTTTTCTTCAGAACTTGTTTCGGTAGTATAGCGACATATGTTTTCATTGTTTCCTCCACATCTTCCGCCACTTGGTAAGCTTTCTGCAAAAAGATTTACACAATGACCGTTGTGGATTGACCACAAAAATACGGTCAAAAGTTGCATGCATCAAGCAACTACAAAGTGCTTGATATCAAAAGCTGTTTTCTTCTTTGTCTACATTTCTCTATATCTGACCAGTAACATCATCGACTTTCCAGAGCGATATTTCAATATTTTACCTCTGACTTTATTCGGTTGTGTTTACTGCGCGCAGTAAAAAATAAAGTAGACTATCATTGCTGCGTTCTTACCACAATCTCCGATTCGTTTTATTTATCTTCAGCAAGCCTGCGCTCCATTTCAGAAAGAGCCTTATGCATGTTCCTCGTTTTTTTGTATTCCGGGTAAACGTCAGTAACGAAGATCTTGTATTCGAATGCGCCAGCTGCATTGGTATTACCGTCTCTTCCGTAAGAGCTACCGCTGAGGAACCAGACGGTGTATCCTCGCAAAATTGGATATTATTTCGTACGCATGTACCAATATAAGGAGAAGTAAAGGGCTAGTTCCTGATTGGACCCTCTCTTCTCGGGATACTCTCTGAAATGAACGGTCGGTCAACCACCTAGGAGAAGGCACTCAGACTCCATTTGTCCTTCGAGGAAACATCTTCCATATCTCCCGGTCGGTCAGAGGGCATACCGGACTCTCCTTCATCTGCTCGTACATTTCCAACTTGGTAATTTTGTTCTCAACTGCCAGGATCATTAACGATGCGATCTTCACATACTCCTGTGCAAATTCCTCGACAATTCCGCCACAGTTGAAGTTTAATTTCAAAGGAAACACTCTCAGTTTAAGGATTTTTGCTTAAACTCTATAACATGTATATCAATGTTGCTTGTGATCATATATTACTGTCACAAACTTATATTTCTTCTTTTTATTTAATTAGAATCATAGATGTTGACCGAGGATTGAATCCTCTTTTTAATAGTTCAGTATTTTACGATATTTTGTCGATAAGTCTGCATCAGAATAGTTATACAGGGTCCTTTGATCTTTTATAAATCATCATCCAATTGCTCTGACAGTTATGCTGCAGATATATCAGACATGAAGAAAATGTTGATTTCAATAGGATAGGTGTCAAACAGATCACTGTTAAAAATTTTTATTTTGTTGCTTTATGTCTTATTTGTAGTAAACATAATCTTTTAATTATTATTAAAAATGGTATATTTGCGAAAGAATAATTAATATTATTTTGTATAAATATGAAGAAGTATATATTAATTAAAGATTTTTTGAAGTATAAATATATTATTACTCAAAAAAAGAGAAGAAAGAATTTAAAAAATCGAAAATTTGCAAAATATTTGTAAACGATAAAAAAACGCGACTTATTGACAGATATGCTGTTCAAAATCATCTAAATCTAGATGATTTTCTATCCGCATGATACAATTACATTGAAAGATAAGTTAAGGATTCTCAACAGGTTAAAGGCTGCTAATGTAATTCTGAAAAGATCAATATCGTGAGAAGTAAACTTTCTGAGATAAGAGGTAAGTAGTTTAGGTGCAAGAAAATTTCATTAACCGCTTCTCTGTGAAATTCTTAATTCATATATATCTCATTAGCATTTCTCTTCGAAAGTCTATACATAATTCTATTAAATAAATAAATGTAATTGTAAAAGCATGAAGGAGCTCTAATTTAAGCTGTTTTTTCTTAAAAAAAGGACGTATATATATCTTGTGCAAATTCAAATAAATTAAATTTGTACACATATACACATATCGTTTAAATTGTATTATTTTATGAAAGCATTATGATGATTATAATGATAATCAATGCATGTTATGGAATTTTTATCTTTATTCACATCTTTCTTTAATTTTAATCTTGTCTTTCTTTAATTTTAATCTTGATGTTAAAATTTAACTGTAAAATAAGATTTCCTCTGATTGAAACAATTAATTTTAATTGTAAACTTAAATGTAATATGATTTAATTAAAATGACAAAATTAGTTTTATATTATATTACTGTGATGGTTCTGTACATCAATTATAATGTATACCGTGTGATTGCTAAGCAGTACGCGATATTGCTACTAGAGGGATGCGTGGCTGATGCTCTTATAAAAAAATATACTACGTAGGGCATTATAATTAATGCACCTACATATTAGGGTTGATGTCTTTCATAAACTTGAATTTGTTTTTGTGTGTGAGCTTCTATCCTTTAGATCTCTGTGTAAATATTTTAACAATTCCGACTTATTTTTATTATCATTTTATTAATCTTGTTTTCTTGATATATTTATGTTTTTGGAATATTCGAATTTAATTTCCAATAATGTTCTTATAACATTCTGATTTAGATTTGATCGTTTTTGGTTGCGTAAAATTATAGTTTCAATCTATTGATAACGCCGGGTATTAATGGCATTTTTTTTTTATTTTTGTGAATAACAGTATGGATCTCTGATTATTAAGAAAAATTGTTATAAATCAGCAATCGAGAATAAATTTACTACATCGATAACAAATGAACGAAAGAATTCAGAGATATTTGAAGAGCGATCGATTGTTGGTGTTAAAGCTTGAGCATTCATATATTTAACAATTTTAATGTGTTACTGCAAATTATTAATAAATATTACACAATTTAAGTTAACCAAGAACAACTAAAATTGTATTAGTAAAATTTTTTAATCTTTTATAATTTTATACAATTTATAAGATAATTATACATTACAAATGATGAAATAATTGTGTAAAATAACATAATTAAATACAATATTAAATTTAAATTAATTCATTAATGGCATTTTACTGAGTGAAAATAATAATACTTTAATTGTTGCATTATTGTTATAATAGTTCAGAATTTATTCACTGTTGGTAACTTTATGTCTGTTGAAATGGTATGTTAAAATAGTTGAAATCTTTTAGATGGCGCAATTGTCATGTGTCGACGATAGAATTGAACACGGCATACATGAACATTAAATATTAAGTGTTCTACTGTCCAGCAAATGTAGGAAAATTGAATTGGAGAGGTTATGGTAGATGAACATAACTTATGCAAGGTATTGCATTTTTAAAACTAATTGTGCGAGTGAGAATATTCAAGATTTAAAAAAAAATGATCGGTTTCCAGAAGGATTAAAGTAAACAAAACAAAATTATGTTCATTAACCGATAGAGCGACAGTGTATTTACTAGTCCGTACGATAGAGGCTGAAAAATCATTTCTGAACAAAAAAAGAAAATAATGGAAAACCGTTACACCAATTTATTTCGTGTCATCTTAATACTAAACTGCCTTGTCCTATTTCTTTCTTTTACGGGAGTGAGAAGCGCACCAGTGGCATTGACAATGAGTATCATAGACGTTATGAAAAATGACTCGAAAATATGCTCGACATCTAACTTTTTATATGATTCAAAGTATACAAAACCTTGTGGATCCATTGAATATCCCATTGATCCTTGGAAATACTTTAATTCATCAACTTTAAATAATTTTCTGTGTTTAGGAGTTTACGATACAGCATATAAGATTTGTCAATATTCTAATCAGTCACATCCCTTTCCTTTCAATAATACAGCAACATTTGATTCGCACGTGGAGAAATATCTTAATAAAAAGAAACAAGAAGATGTTTGCACCAGTCTACAGGGATTTACACTACTGTATAATAAAATAGAGTCACTTTGGAAATCATTGGTCGAAAGTCTTAAGATACCTCATATATGTGGCAAAATATGTTTTGATTTTCATGATAAGTTTCAACCACTGTGCGCAGTATTAGCTTTGATTAAAAACATTGATGATAATATGATAAAAAATGTAAAAGAAGTAGAAACAAAACATGATCTTGTGACATCTGATAAACCGCATGTAAGTCAGTCCAAGGACGAAGTAATGGATAATATTAAAACAACATCAGTTGAATCTAAAAAAACAGAAACAAAAGAAATTAAAGAAAGGGAGCAAATTGTAGATTCTAATAGTAAAAAAGGTAACGCAAATATACCTGATGACGTACCATTTACATATATAAAATCCAACGAAGAAAAAACAAAATTTGCTACTGAAAAAGAGAATACCCAAAATAATAACCAGAAAAAAATAAATAATACTTCAGAAACACAAGCTCATAAATCAGCATCTGCAATATTTAAAGAAAATAAAGAGTATAATATTGATACTGAACTTGATACCAATGCTGAAGTTCCAAAACCTATAAAAAATATTTCTCCAAATAGCAATTCACAAGCTCCATCAGTAAATAAAGCTATAAATAATATAAATAAAAACGTAGAAGAAAATGCACAGAAATCTAATAAGGAGCAAAATGTTGATGAATTAAAACCTAGTACATTATCCGAAAATACGCAAGATCATTATGATGCTCCAAATCCAGAAGAAAATATGGAAAATGATATAGATGGTATTAATATTTTTAATACATATTCTTATAATGTATTGTCAATGTTTATAAATGTGTATTTGTCCATCTAATTTATTCTTTAAAATATATGCAAATGTTTGAATAAATATAATAAAAATAAATTGGATTTTTGCATTTTTATTCAAAATTTTATATTTTATATTACCTTTTTATATAAAAAATTAAGAATATAAATTGTGTTCATATTGCATAAAATATTTCTATGTGTGTATATAGAGAAAAATAACATATACAGGTATATATAGTATTATAAAAATACGAAATTATAAAAATATTATATGCATGTTAAATTATATACATTATATGTTTCTCAGGGAAAAATGTTTTATAGTTATATAAAATTATATATAATTATTTATAATTACATAATTTTATATTATTATACATAAAACTTTTTCCCGAGTTAATATATATAAAACACATTTTAAATTATTTATAAATTTATAAACAATGCGTATATATTTATTATCTATATATTTATTTTTTTATGTATATACATATATATAAATAAATAAATGAACGTTATGTATGCGTAATTTTCAGATGTAGATGACACAATTCAACATCCAGATACAGGTGAGAAATGTTTTTTGTATTATATATAATTAATTCTATTATGTAATTATATGCTTACATATATATTTGTTTTCTGAAAGGAAATCAAAATGAAAATGTGCAAGAAATCATTGAACAGAAGAATAATGATAGATTAACGGAATACTCTACTATGGGAACGGAAGATTCTCATTTTTTTACTTATTTTACTGTGATTACTTTGGCTTGTCTTGCTGGGTACATAGGTTATCATAATAAACAAAAGGTCAGTTTAATTCTTTAAGGTCAGTTTATGTCTTTTTATTTGACATTTATGGTTTTTTTATATAGAAAGTTTTTTTTTCAGATATTTGCTATTGTATTAGAGGGTCGAAGATCAAGAAGTAATCGTGGTAGACGACGACCAAGTACGGCAAGCTACCGAAAACTGGATTGTACACTTGAAGAAGCTGTTACCTCGCAATGTAATGCTAATGTTACTCATGTCATATATTAATGCGAATAGAGTATCATAAATTTTATAATATCTGTATTATAGCATAACAAGTGTAATATATTTTGTATTTAAGCATATATTTTCAGCATATTATTTAATTTTCTAAAAATTTTATATTTTAGCATCGAAGCGATTTGTCATAGTAAAAATTATGAATAACGATACATATGATAAAACGTTTAATATTATATTTTTATTAGAATTTAATTATATTTTTAATTTACGTATACCGAGTTAAGCATATGATTTACAATATAAAAAACTTATTACAGTGAATAAACTAGTAAACGAAAATTACTAGCAAATTTACATTAATTGTGTCTGCATTAAGCTCATGTTGAGAGAGAGCCTATTGACATAACGAGACAGAAAATTAGCGAACAAAAACATAGAGTTTTTCTGCCATTAATCTATATGAAAGTTTGTTAAAATTAGCTTGATTTTTATTATTAATTTTTATTATTGATTTTTATTATTAATTTCATATATTTTGCTATCATATTTTATTGATGAAATTTGCTATATTTCTGTCAATATATATTGTCAACATTATTACATATATATGTGTGATCTGTAACACTTCTGCCGTCAAAATTTTTAGCAGACACTTGTAAAATTTGTTCTCAATATATTTGATTGCACTAAAAAAAAAGCATTGAAAAATTCAAAAAAATTTTTAATTTTCATAGATTTACAATTATCAAGTAAAACATATTTAATAATTAATGATGTCTAATATGTTACATTTTTTCGTTTTTGTTTTTTCTTTTAATGAAGTTATTGTGTTATTTATGGAAATTTATATTAAGTACACTGCATATAAAACTAAAAACTATGTATGTTATATATATTTCGAATTTAACAATTCAAAAAAAACATACGACATTATGACTGAAAACTAAACATGACGTTTATCATTGATATAAATCTTAGTATTCAGACAATTTATCGATTATAATTGTTAATTAATTTATGATATATAGAAAGTTAAAGATAGCTTGATTTTTATCATTAATTTAATATAATCATTTGACGTAATACATGACTTCTTACATATATTTAGATTTTATTTTATTTAGTATTATATATATGTTACACATTGTGTCGGAATTAAAAAAATTATAAATTAATCTAATTGTTTTATGTTACTTATTTTATTGTCAATTCTCATCAATTCTTTAATATATGAAGCGAAATTTCATGAAGTTTTACGATAAATTTCCTTAAATTTTTCATCAATTTTAGATGCTTGAATGCGATACAGATAATTAAAAAGAAATATCAGTAATACACTATAACAATAAGTGATTACGCTTGTGAAAACGCATGCATGTCGCCGAAAAATTTATTGGTACGTTATTTCACCTTCCATAACATCTGAAAACAAAATAATATGCGAGTTTTCTTTGTCAAATTGTCTTCGTTTTGATGTTTCTCAGTATCACTAGAATTGTATTATGTTTTCTTTTACAAACACCTTTTATTATATTCTTATTAATTATCTGTTTTAGTTATTAAACGCACATTTAAGTGAGACATTTAAGTGAGACATTTGAGTTGATTTTAATGTAACTTTTGTATACACAGCTTTAAACCGCAGATTTTTACAATCACTTTTTCAGCATTGTCTTTTTGTCATTGAATCATAATCTATATATAGATTTACAATATCCTTTCTTATTTTTATATATATATATATTTTTTTTTT